AAGGGTGTCAGCTATAGGGTAGAGGGGGTGGTGGGGGAAGGGGGCTACCGCCCAAGGCTTCAGAAACCAAGGGTGTCTAATGCCGAGTGGACTTTGTTCGCTCGCGAGAAGACACACTGTGTATACAGGAGGCGCAGCAAAGAGACAACGACGACGGACACGGGTCGGTAACGTGTGTACACGTATGTTCAGGTGGCACGGTGGTAACGTTCGCGCGAAATGCACGCCGCGGTATCTTGCATCGATAGTCGCCCGTAAATGGATCCAGTTGCATGTAGCATACGTACATGTATAGCGGCCACGAGACGCGCTAGGTGTATTAGGTATACACGAGGGCTGACCAAACGTCAGCTCGGCGGGCCCGTTGCATTATGATCATGTTGGTGAAACGAAGGGGAACGGGGGTAGGGAAACGTATAGGGTGACCGGGGGTATTATAGATTTAATTCGACCGCTTTCATACGTGCGGACGGAACCGTGGCTTTTTTGTTCGGCGCGGGATTGTCGAGGGGAGGGAGGCAGGAACCACGGCGCGGTTCGACGCTTCTGAAAGTGTGGTGCGGGAGTGGCGCGGTCGGGTCGAGAGTGGGTCTTTGTTCACTCTCGTGGGATGACACGTTGGGATCCCAGTCTTTCTATCTGTCTCTCCTTCTCCCGACGCGATCACGAATATATACGTATATACGAATGTACAACGGCCGCTGCTCGGCGCAAAGATAGCCCGGACTCACGGCTTTTTGCGAGCGGTAAGGAGAAGAGTTCATTTAGCCCTCGACGTGTGGACGTAGCCGTTGCATAGTTTTCTTAATACGATACAGGACGGGGATTAAGAACGAATGAAAATTATATCGTTATGGGTGGTGGTGAAATGTTGAAAAAAAGGTGTGAAGTCCGATAAATGGGGTTGGTGGGTTGGAATAGAATGCATTAAGGGCACGTGCAATGTATACACGGGGCGAGGCTATCTTCCGCCTGTTGTACGATAGCAGTGAACATTATCTTGAACTGTCATGGATTATGGATATATCGACAGGGAACTGATAGTCTATTGTAACGTAATACTGTTCTGTGTACCAGGGAATAATTTGGATGTTACTAATGATTATTACGTAATGTATACTTAATGTTACCAGAGGAAAAGGTTTGATGTATTCTTCGAAATGGTGGTTATAAATTTGATACTTCAATCAAAATAAAGCTTCTTCAATTTTGTCTATGCATAGTACATAAATTCTTGATCAAACAGGGATACGACAAAATAAATTCTCGATACAGCCCACTAAACAGTTTTCTGATTTATACTCCCTTAGCTGTCGAAGGGAATCGAATCTAAACCTATTGTTGACTTTTCTGAAAGAACATCTCGTAAGAAAAAATGTAGCTTGAAAGAATGGTTTTACGCGGTACTTTTGTGCTTTCAAAATATTATCGATCGGTTAACACGTTTGTTTCAATTTCCTCGATACCATTTTCTTGTTTAACCAAAAAGATCAGTCCATGTGAATGTAATTATCGTGTTGCCAGGTTGTTCAATCGCTTAATGGTAGCGAAAAATTGCGCAATCGAGTCTGAACGTGGATCCTCTATCAAGCTTTTCGTAAGGGTTCCCCTGACGTTGTACATCCGGCTCAAACGATTCGTAAAAAACGCGCCGGGAGAGAAGCCTTCCGACCCTGCTCCCTAACTTCTTGTTGGATGCTGCCACTGACTTGACTCACGATCGACTGACTAAACGTCCCGATACATTAACATTTGAAAGTTTATTTCGAATCATTCTGCGAGAATACGTTTGTTAAATATAACATTCTCGACTCCAGAATTGTTATAATATCCAATAGCTTAATACAGAACACGTGGATCAATGATTTCAATGTTCGTAATGCTATCGACTGTCTAGTTTAACAAACATATTATTTTCTATTTTCGCCTAATAAACAAATGTACTTCAAAAACCAGATCAGTCAGATAGTTTCATGAAGTGTCATTAAAGGATGTTAAAGTAAGCAAATTTGTGACATCACGTTCCAGAATACTTTAAGACTATGCGGGAGCTTGAAGTTAAAATACGGAAACTCTTTTTAAAATAATGCCCAATAAATGTTCGAGAAGTAAACAAAAAGTACAAAGTACGCGAGTTCTCGTCCAGGGTGACCGGAGAGGGTATCATCGATAGCGCCGAAGGGAGTCGGAATCGAAAGCGGAGAATTGCACTTTCGCCAGAAAGTTTCGACCTTTTTTATGCTCCCCGTGTCCCGAAGTTTTCCAACCCCGCGGCAAACTGTTGCTTAGATCGTTATCGCGTACGCCGGCCGATAAGGGTGGAGATTCTCCCCCTATCGAACGCGTAGGAATTAGAAACAATCTCAGCGCCCAGGGGACGCGGGTTTATTTTCGTTCTGTTCAACCGCGACTTTTTAATTCGACAGCTAATGCGCGGCATTTAAAAACCGCGGACAACGTTTAATTCGACTACTGGTGAAGAGACGGGCATTAATTTCCCGTCAACCGTAACTCGTAAGAAAATCGACAATCGGACATTACTGTCAATGCACACAATCTCTCAATATTAGTAACAAAATAAAAATGATTTCCCCAGAAATTAATTTCTTGAAACATGAACCAAAGGTTGTGATTGTCAGAGTCTCATTTCATTTTTTTCTGACGATATAATAGCGGAAGCTACACAGTTATAAATACCAAGAATGATTAACTCCAAATGTGATAAAGATTGATGACAATGATCATTTCGTGACACTTAGGTAACTTCGTCAATAACTTCCTCGGAAGTTTGAAAAAGTTGCTAAGTTCTAGGGGTTTCTCAAAAGTGAAGCAGTTTATAGTAAGTGTCCAAATATCGAAAACCGTTGTACTATTTCTAGAGTGAATAACACACGCATGCACATCACTTACCAAAAGTTACTGGAATCCTGTTTGCCAAGACTTGACCAACCATACCCATCTTTCACTACGCATGCTGTACCCAAAAATGGGAGATTGTCGTCGTTGTTAAACTATCCAACCAAGGCTCCCTTGCCCAGCATTTACTGGATCCCATCTGGAACACCCTGCAACATATCGTCCCTTATCAGGCCCGCAGGTGGTCGAGGCAGTCGCTGATACTTTGGTCAGCTAATAACTCGAAAGACGGGGCCATCAAAGACCCCGTCCGGACGCGTATTCGAAGCTCACCGCTCGGATGACGAGTCATCATCAGTGGCGTGCGTGTGAGAGGCGAGACGCACACGGGCAGAACCCGGCATCGATATCAGCGCACACCAGCGTGCCACGTGAGGGCAGGGGGAAAAAGATAGACGTACAGATAGATGGCAAGCAACAGAGACCACGGATCCGTGTACGGCCGCGCGTATCCCACACGCGCGCACGGACGTGTCCATACAGAGAGAGAGTGGCGAGCAGCAGCACAGTGGCGTGTACACATACCCTGCTAAGCACAAGCCTAACACACCCGTAGAAGCCCCTTCGGCCGATGAGTACCCGCGCCCCTTGCCCCTGCGCTATTCCCGCTGTCCCCTTTCACCCCATCACTAGCGCACAGCGAAAGGTACTCTCCCATTTCCCCCCTTGCCCCGAAAGCCCTATGGATGTCCGTGTACGGCCCCTTGCGCCCCTTTCAATCCCTGCTTTCCCTTGGAGTTACCCGTCCAGCGGCCTCTTCTGTGTTCTGATGGTGACAGACCCTACCTTACCGCCTCCACTGCCGCCTCCGTGGGCTAGGGGGGGTCGAGAGGAGCCGGCAAGGGCGCTGGAACAGCAGAAAGGAAAACAGAGAAGGATAGTCGACGGGGGAGAGAGAGAAATGGAGAGAGAGGGAGCGGTGTGCATCGAGTTAGAGCGAGGCGGAAAGGAACGAGGGATGAGGGAGAGAGGGTTGACGTGTTCGAGGAGGACCGTTGAGGAGCGAGAACGGCGCGGGTCATAGCAGGGCGCGGCGTCAGGGAGCGACAGAGACGTAACGAGAGGGTACGCTGGATGGTAGCTGAGGGGGACATGGGGGAATGGAACAGTCGGAGAGAGAAAGAGAGAAAGGTGAAGGAGAGCGAGAAGCAAAGGGAGTGTAGGGTATGGGGGAAACGTGGAGTGAGGTTGGCGTGGTTAGGGCGAGGAGACGTGGGGGAGTCGAGTGCTATAGGGGAGCGGCGCGGAGGCGGTGAGGAGAGTAGTGGAGAGGGTGAGGTGGCCAAAGAGGAGGGGAGTCGCCGCCGCGTCGCCAGTCGCCAGTTTGCCGTGAGCGCTCGTGATGTGAGGACGTTCTATGATTTCGTCTACGAGCGTGGCGCTCTTTCAACTGTCGCAGTAGATACGAGCGAACGTCGTGTTGTTTTTTTTCCACGTACCTCATCGCGGTCCCGTCGCCCTGTACAGTCATCACGTCGAGCCGAACAGAACAAGCAAGGAACAACACGGATCCACGATCGTGCCGTAAGGGTTGACGGGTTTTCATCAACGAAGCGAAAACTCACGGCGTGTGCAGACACGCGACGTGTACACACGAGAAACGGTATCGTCTGCCGCAAGACCAGCCAGGTGTTTTGCTCTTGTTTACGTCCGTTGTTTACCGGCCTGTTAAGGATTTACGTTGTGAATGTGCGACACTCGAACGTGATTACGAACTCACCGATTATCGTGACCACGTTCGCTGAACAATTATCACCGTGGAAGCATTCACCGAGTGATCCCGTGACTGTGCTCCTGTGATGAACGAACGTCTCGATCAACCAGCTGATCGCGATTCCGTCAGTGCTGCACCGACTCAATGGACTATATAGATGCAGCCGGTCGACGGTGTATCACGTACGTGAGCGGAAGTTTGAATCGTACGGTGGACGGGACAGTTTTCGTGCGGGCTCGTCGTTGCCGTTTCTTTTCCGCTCGCAACCGTCTTGCACGTCGACACCTGCGGTAACCGCGGGCATTTTATCGCGGCGCCGCTGCGTGGTGTTGTTGTGCGCGCCGAGCTTGAAGTTCGTGGCTGTGCGCGAGACAAGGATAGAGTGCGCGCTGTGTGTACGCGTCTAACCTAGAAAGAGAACGAATCGTGAGTGTACATAGAGAACAGAGACAGGACTAAAACCGAGAACTCCGCGAAAGTTCGTGGGTGAAACGTGCTATCGAGACGAATTCGAGACATCTATCTCTCTCTCTTTCTGTCTTACTTCTTCTTGCTCTATCATTCGTATTATCGGCTGACGAATGTAAGACAAGGACAGTGTTAACCGGCCGAGGAGAACACGTAGGAAAAGAACATCGACTCTACTTTTGTTTTGTGATCGGTGCTTTCGAGTACGCGAGTGGTGCGCCAACAAGGGAAAACCTCGACGTCTCAAGAGAGAGAAACATACGCACAAGCATCCAGGAGACAAAAACGCGTGGAAAAGGAGACGGAAATACGATTACCCGCTTTACGACCAGGAGAGAGACAGCCACATCGGAACTGAATATGTCCGCCAAGCGAAAGGCCACTGCCATCATGCAGCACCACAAGGTGAGTCCACTGATTGCCACTGTATCGCCACGTGATCGGATCGTTTTTTCCTTGGCGAGGGCCTGTAAATCAGTCGGCGATGTTCCCGCTGCTGGTAAAAAAAGTTTGCCGGGTGTCAAAGTTTAACGCGGAGTTGCGACGAGGTTCAAGGTTATACATATACCGTTTTGTTTTGCCGCTTAGCCGCTGCCACCCAAAGTGTCGTGTGAAATTATTGCGGCCGGAGCTCATGGCTGTTCCCCAAGGGCGAATGATTTTCGTAACGGTCGGGAAAATACGCATAAAATCGTGTTTCAAAATCCGGTCTCCCACGACGCTGTCACTCGTCCCGCGCAACTTTTTCGTTACTCGTTATTCCGGTCCGTTCCTACTCTAATTCTTTTTCACCCGTCCGTTCCGCGTTTCCGGAACGGTGGAAGATGAACCGCCGGGCGCGAAAGTTTTAATTGAAAGAGTTACGGCGGATTTCGCCCGGGACACGCGGAAAAGTTGTCGGGACTACACTTAACGCGTATTGACTCATTAACCGTCAACTGCGTCGTTATTCCTGATTTTTGTTTTACCTCGAAATACCGGAATCACAGTACCTGCTGGCGTGTCTATTTAGTTTTCAAACGAACACTGGGTACTTTCCGGATTCACGAGGGTCACTCTGATATTTGAGGTTAGTTCAACATTTTGGGCGTTGCTTTTTCTCTACTCTTTTTCAGTAATTAAGCATAAATTTATAATTACATTTTTCAAATGGTTATTTGCGTTAATTGACTACATGAATATATTCTGTTGTATAACAAACTAACTTTTACAGGTGAGTTAGATCTTCTAACTCTTTCGTTTAAATCGAAGACTAATGTTTTTTTATAATTAAGTTTCAAATAAGTTGTTTTGTGATTTAGCCTATCAAATTACTCTCTCTCTAATATTTATTACATTTCTAGAGACTCCATTTCATTGTTTCAACATTTTTTTCCTCGATGAAAAAATTCTTGGTCTTCCCATTTCCATGAAATATGTGCCAATCGATTTTTCATTGAGCATATGGAAGTTACGTAAGCATTTGTGAAACTTGTTTGTAGTATTCTCGGGTTTTCGCATGATTCGTCGATCGAGGAAATCGACGACGTTCGATGACAAACTTGACAGATCTGACTTATCGCAGAAGTTTTTCTTCTACTCGGTCAGATTAACTTGGTATATCTCCCGCGAAAGATAATCCGTGGATCGCGTTTCCAAGGAGGGCGATCAAGAGCACGTGCTCGATCGAGGAGCTTTAGAGTCTGACTGTATTTGGAGTTATTTGCAAACAAATTTACATTAGTTGACATATGAAAAATGAATAGTACAAAATATTTTGTCTGAGATAAACACATTGAGATAAACACATTAGATAAATAGATATTTTGATCGATCTTCATTGAACTCGAATTTCCTACCGTCAAGACTGTATCTTACTACTTAAATTAGTTAGACGTGAAAAATATTCTTATCTGAATGCTTTAAGATGAGGCGTTTATTGATTTTATTCTAAGCATGCCAAGGAACCAAAATCTAATATGTTTATTATTGTTTACCAGCAGTAAAATGTTTGTGCAGAAAACATATTTTTAGTGGAATATATAATAGTAGCTAATATATAAACTAATATTTCAGATACATTTTCTAATGTCCCAACTTCTATATAATTTGGACGTCACTTTCAATGTGTATCTAATTAACATTTGGATCATTTTAAATTGTGAACGCATTAAAACTTTATCCATTGTAGTCGCCCTTAATTTTATTATTAAATTTGCATATTTTCAATTCGTCGGCGAATATGTGTTCTAATTACTCGTGTTGGGGGTAATTGATGCGGAAATGTAATTTTGGTATGGCGCGTGGGTAGGGTGGACGGTTCGAAACATCGTTAAAACCTCCGATTAATTGCATATGTTTTGGTCACGCGGTTCAGGAAAATATTTTGGAAAAGGAACTGCGAAAAAAAGGTTGGAAATTGTAGCCGGAGTGAAACGATCCCTCGAAAATGTATGTTTAGTAACGATTCTCTTTGCCTGGATCAATTTTATCGAATTTTTTGTTCCGTTCAATTGTAACTGAAACGAAAATTACAAAACATTCCCAGGTTATTTTTGTCCATAAAAGTTTTTCCTCTGACTTTCGGTTTCTATTTGTTTTTTTCGGGTCGTTGTGTTAAATCAAAGGTTTCAGAATCTGACTTGAGAGCAGTATAATTGAAAAAATTCACTAAAATTGGAGCAGATGAGTAAAGTTAAAGATAAAGTTGCATGGTTTCTGTATAAAAATGACTGAATCCAGATGGGCGAAAGGTCAGAACGTATTGTATAAAGTGTCGAAAACTGTTCTGATTTCGGAGTAAAAACAGGAAAACCAATTGATTTTTTTCGTATCCTTAGTTTCAACGCAAACTGAATTACATTCTAGTAATTCTTTCAAACTCTTCGATATATTTTTATAATTATTTAATGTAATATTCTAATTTGACGACGACAAATTACTGAAATGTTACTCAGTGATCAGGTTTGATATTCGATGATTCAGGTCTTAATGTTTATCGTGACTCATGAGAAGCTGTAGTCACGAGGTGACGATGACTTCGAAAAGCAATAAATTGTGTTCACTTCTTCATAGTCTTGAGACTATCAAATCCATCCGATAGCGATACGTACTATCAGAACAAAAATAGTGTAAATTGCATTTGACGCAACCACAATACATAAACTGTCCCAAACATGAGAGTAGCATTCAATCAAAGAACTGACATTGCTGCTTACAAGTATTAGAATCATGTATGAAGAAAATATGATGTTCCATGAGAAATGATATATTTTACGCCACGTTTAATAGTTCACAGTACGTATAGTGTTACCCATTGAACTTTCCATATACCCAAAATAATATTCATTTCAGACATTCGATAATTTCATCAATCCTAATAACATATACCTCATATTCGATAAGTGTCCTACCATACTTACGAGCGTAAGTGTATAATTCTCCTAAATATTAGGTGTACATTAATTCGTAGTCTTCTCTTTACAGATTTGTTTATTTACAAAAAACCCAAAATACCATCTGGTCTTAAAAATATTCCAAAAATGTAATAAAAACTAAAATCTGTATACAGAAAAGGTTGATTTATCGCAAAAGGATAAAGAATGCTCCGAATTCGTAAGAACGCCATGAGTAGTATAGCCGTCATAATTTCGATTCAAGAGCATATCTCAACCGATTCCGATACACGATAAATGTGAGTTGGGCGCTGTGTGACGGAGAACAAGGGAACGCAAGAGAGAGAAAGAAGGGAACAGTAAATACCGGTGGCCGGTTTATACGCTGTGCGCCACTTTGATCGATCCGATCAGAATTGAACCGCGAATGTCAAGTTAGAATTAAGGTAGGTTCGGGTGGTCCTCGCGTCCTTCTCCTTTCTCCGATGTCCTCCTTCCACCGCTATACGTTCCCCTCACCAGCTCCCACTAACGAGCCTGTCTCGCTCTGCTGCCTCTATTTTCTTCTCTTTTCCACCATCGTTCACTGAATCGTCTTCGTCTCTTCCTTTGACCGTCCGCACACTCTCTCTACCACCCTGCGTCTCCTCCGTACCCTTCGGTTTCTTCCCTCTCACCCCGCTCCATGTTCAGAGGGCAATTAATCTTCCCTCACGGTTTCCTTTCGTTTCCACGGCGGACCAACTTTCTTTTCCAGCTGGATTTCGAAGTTTTTCACACCCTCGCAACGTCGGGGGATGAAGCACGCCTCGAATTCACCACCCCCGCAGGGGTGTTCAACTGCCTCTCTCTTTCTCTTCAGATTATTTCCATCCGAAATGAAATTATTGGGATCAAACCGTGTTTACACAGTGGAATAATACAGCTAAAAATGCGTGCTTGTCGCGATATAAATTTTTCGATTTTCTTTAAATTAGATCTCAGGCGTTTGGCTGTACGATTTAAATCGAAGTTCGGTAGTAATTTCGTGGGAATGGCTGGTCGATGATCGATTAATGTGTACAGGTTCTTACCGGGGGTAACTGTAAAAAACCGAAAACATATGTTTCTCTTCTGCTTCGTTGAAAAATGTATTATTCTTCCTGTGTTCTTGTCGCCGGTTCGTTAGACTTGATTCACACTGTCCGTTCGGTTGACGTCAGTCTGCTGTGGATGAACAAAATATACGAAGCATTTTCCCGCTGGAGTTTGTGGTTCCGAGTCCGATGATACATAAAGCGAACTTTGTCGTGTAAAATCTGTTGTATATGGTACAACGGTTGATTTTCAGCTGGTTGCTCTATAATAAAATTCTTCGTGTCCCGATTTACACCGAGACAGGGGATAGCTCTGCACACGAATCTGCCTTTATTTTTAAGTTTCAGCGAATCTACCATCTAGTCGAAATCAAATTCTTTCACATTTTTTTCGTATAACCTGAGCAGTGTTAGTGTGACACACAGTAATCTCTTCGAAAAAAATGATTATTCAAATAATTTTAACTTGTTTCCAGTGTTGAATACTTTAAATAGGACTAGATATAAGAACCGATCAATGATGAAGGATGAGCGTTGATTTTCGGAAATGCTGTATTCGACACGATAGCATAATACGATCAAAGTTTTCCTTTCAACTTCATTCGGATGACGTAGCAAGACGTAAGCTGGATTAGCTGAAAATGGACGGCGCATTCAAAAGGAAACAAGAAGCAATGTTTGTAATTAGGGCGCTTTTGACGTATTAATCCCTCCGTTTCATCCATGTTGCAACATTTGCCCACCTACATATTTTCTTTGTCCATGTAAAATTTTCAGCGAATGAATATTTCGCATTATTTCCATTAATCGGGGAGTCTCGAGGGCTGAAAAATCAATTTTCGAAGGCACAGTTTTCGGGCGTGCGTTCACAATCCCGTGAACAAGACCGCTAAAAGTGGCGGCTTTACATTGGTTTCCAAAGCTTCTGTAGGTACCTGGGATCCTGGAGCTCTAA